TTGACGGCTATATCAATTAAAACGCAACTAGCGGAATCAAGAGATGATATTGATGAAAAGTTCTTAGCAAACAACTCAGCTTTATCTTTAGGTGAGGTGACAAAGCCTAAACTATACAAAAGAGGTGGAATTAAAGACTTGCCATTATTATTGATACTATTAAAGATTTTCCAGAAGTCACGAAAGCCTAATTTTTGTAATGAACTACGAGATATCATGACCTGCGAATAGCGGGCTTCGGCATTGCTCAAAACCTTTTTACAATGGTTTTTAGAAGTAATAAACAGACGTCTGTTTTCATGAGAATGGATTTGCTGATAGATATGAAAGTAATGATTTCGATTGGCATTTACGGTAGCACAATGTGAGGAAAACCACGGATAAAAGTGAGGCTTGACATAGAGTCGTCAATAGGGAATAATGGATTCCATGCCAGCCTGAATCCACAAAGTTATACAAAACATTACTGAAACTAGCGATCACTGAAACTAGAGATCACTTACAGAGACTAACACTAGTGATCACTGCAGTGTCACTCACACTTTTGCTTGAAGTGTCACTGACACAAACTTTAAAAAAAATTTTTTTTTTGCAAAAACGTATAATATTTTTACGTTACATTTGTTCTTATATACTCTTTATAAAACTTCAGTTTTATTTTGTATTTTAGTATTACCAAAAAAAAAAAAAAAAAAAGTAAAGCAATTGATAGGAACCGAACCTCGGCGCCTTATCCAGTCGGCCACACTGGCACTCTCTCAAGCGAATATTTTTAAAATATTCTAACGATTTTTTTAAGGGAAAATTAAACTCTAAATTTTTAAAAATGTTTCAGTATGTTTTAACATATATTTTTACATTACTTGATATAAAGTTTACGTACGTTTGATATTTGAATACGCGTTCGTTCATAATTTTTTATAAACTAAAGTGCTGTTATTTTTTCTCATCACTACCATGCTTGCAATTGCTGCCAAGGGTACCGTATCAAATAGACTCTAAAGAGCGCACTACTACTATTAAGTTCGGCATTAATGTATAGTAAATAACGAATATAACTATATATAAACAACAAAAATATATTTAAAAAACATAAAAGTACTTAAAGATTAAAGCTAAATAATATTACTTAGACATTAAATTTAAAAAGAAATCCCTATTGATGATTTGAGCTATTAACCCTGTCGGCCGCACCTCAAAAAATGATATTTTTTACATACACAATAGTAAGCGACTATTACGTCGTCAAAAATTTAAAGCATTTTAATATTTTTTTGCGTACAAATAAACTTTTAAATAATTTATTTCATAATTATTACTATTGACGTTAAAATAATGACTTCCTTATAGGAGTTCACAATTAAAAAGTAAAATAAAATAAAAAATATTATATACATTTACTAATATACAATTAATAATATGCCTTATCATAACTTATACAATAAATGATAGTATTACATTTTAATTATAAGTGTATTATTAGTATTGCTAGTATTAGTATTATATTAATACTAACGAATGAAGTAGTCGCTCTTAAAAATTTAACAGTTAAAACCTTTTTGAAAATTTATATCCAGTTTAAATTAGTCAAATATCCCTATGAAAAAAGATGGCGGAGGTTGGCTTCACTTTTTATCTCATGTCACGCATGAAATTATATATGTCATTGAATCAATTTTATTCTTTTAGTTTCAAATCAATGAAAAAAAAAAAATCAGTTTAACTATATTTTAAACTCTTCAAATTGCAAACAAACAAAAAACTTTCAGCGTTTGAATACAGCGTTGAAATACATTTAATATATAATTTCAAGTATACACCTACTTAATTAGAAATATAGTTAAAAAAAACATTGCAATCATGCAAAAAATAAAAAAAAAAAATGTAAGAGTCAAGAATAATTTATTAAAGAAAAAATAACTTGATTTAACAAGACAGTACATATAATAGGTGCAGTTTACTCAAAACATATAATGTAACTAATACAATTATTTTTACCATAACACTATGACAAAACAAAGTTATTAGGATGTTCCTTTTAAAATAAAGCAAAAAGAAACGTAAGACAAATAAATTTATTTGCATAAACTTACCTTGGAAATTTAACAAGATATATTAACAAAACTTAGACAACTATAGTATCGTAAAAATAAAAACTTGTAAAAAAAGCTTTTACCGCATATATATATATATATATATATATATATATATATATATATATATATATATATATATATATATATATATATATATATATAAATATATAAACTAAGGCAATTTAAAGCTCTTTAAGGTTCACAAAATATATTTTTTTTGTTTTTCCAAGAAATAGAATCATAACGTAGCCAGTTGTCTTTTTGGTAATAAAACACATTATAGCATTCTTTGTCTACAGCAAACAGCTCAGGACCGTAAGTAACAGGGTGTGTCAAAGGAATATTACTTCTTTGTATAAAAGGTCTGTGCGCACAACAGTCTATATTCATGTAATACCTAGTTCCTAAATAAAAAAATAAATCAAAATATTTTCTAAACATTTAAAAAATGCAACTTTTTTTTAGCTTTGCAGTTTTTATCAGTTGTAAACATTGTTAACTTGAGCAATAAAGAAAAAAATTTTAAATATAAATGCAGCACTAATTTGCTTGAAAAATATAAAATTTATTCTAAACGCACTTGCGACATCATTAGAGAAACTACAGGTAGTAACAAAACAAAAATATGATCGCTAAAAAACAATAAAATAAACGGTGATTAATATTAGAACCCCTACTATTTCTTATTTACATCAATGAGATATATAAAGCCTCAAACTTAATGGCTATTAGGTTTGCAAATGACACTTATCTCTTTTTATCTCACAATAAACTAAATTATCTTTTTGAAAACATGAACAACAAACTAATTAAAATCTGTAATTGGTTCAAGACAAATAAACTCTCAATATTGATAAAAACAAATGGATTTTTTTCCACACTCATTTTAAAAAACATTAACTGCCAAATAAAATGCCTTTTCTTTTTATTGACCATACGCCAATAAAAAAAAGTAACTTTTATCAATATTTGAGGCGTTTAAATTGAATGAAAATCTATCATGGAAAAAAACATATAAAGTGGAAAGAATTAGTGAAAAATAGGGTTGTTCCCGGACAAAATTTGTATAAATGCTACAAGCTACAACTTTGCAGAGAGAAATTAGACAGTGTCTTGATGAGCTTTGTTGATTGCGCTATGAAAACACACTTTTGATGCAATATGAGGTAAATTATTGGTAATTTTTGACAGCATTAAAATATAATAAGCTATATATTATTAGATAAAATTTTTTATGCTGATTTATTTTTGTGTAAGAACTATGACTAAAACAATTATTTTTTAAGTAATTTACGTTTGAAAAGTGTAAAAGCCTTAAAGTACAATTTTTTTGTTTTCAAAACGTAATAACTTTTGTCCGCCGTAACTTTAAATAGGAAAAAAATGTAAAAAAAAATATATTATTTTAAAATAACTTTGATAATTGAATGAAAATGTTTTTAAAATTAAAATTATCTTGCTTTTCTCAAAAAAAAAATTTCTCTAAACTTTTCTGGCTCAATATTTTTTTCACAAATCATTTGTTTATATTTCAAATATCTTAGAAATAATAAAAATGTGATATTTTCTCAATCTAAATCATATATTGTTTTGTGATGTTTATTATTAGATTTAATAAAAAACTCTTTATCATAAACTTTATCACAACAATATCTATAAACCTCATACCTTTGTTCCAAAGAACTCTGTGGAGTAAGGAACCTCCATCAAAAACATATTTGCACAAAATGACATTTTTTCTTGATTTAATTTGTTGTCAGGAAAAATCACTTTGCGCAAAGATGATTAGTTTGCTTTTAGCATTATTTTATTTTTAAATATTGATTGAGGGAGATGATTAAGCTCATAATCGAAGTATAGTTCAATATCATCCTCTATTTCTGCAATTGCTGCAAGTCTATTTAAAAGGAGCTTTAAATCGACACAAAAAATTGTTTATCTAGTTTAACGTAATTGGTCAACTCATTCAAAGCAAAAAATGTGTTATTTTTCTAAACATTGTTTTATTAAACTTAAGACCGCCGCGACAAGTCCCGTCACAGTTAAAAAGGTCTTTTCTACTGACTAATCATCGTTATTGAATGGATCTGTTACAGCAAACCAGTTAAATTAAAACTTTAATCTTAATAATGAATACGATTCTTTAAATACCCATTTCTTAATTGTTGTTTTAAAACTCCAATGTCAAATCAGATAATTTATGGATTGTTTCATGAGTACTTGCAGAATAACAAATGTATATTGTCCATAGGTTGCGTAAAATTTCTTCAAATACTTTACACCGAGTTAAAGAACCATAGCATTTTAAAGAATGCATCAGGGTCTTCTAAATTAAAAGATCAGAAAGTAATCAACCCAATACCTTTCAGCTCGACGCACTGCGTGACGACCATCTAAAAATTGGTGGTACAATTACGGATTTGTTTCTGAAGATATTGCATTTCTTGCAAGTATAACCAGAAACACTTGGCACAGTTTGAATATCCTGATGCGGCAAATAAGTTTAAAATTTTTGAGATTGTTTGACAATGCAAGTGCCAGTTATACATTTCCTCAGCAATTAAAAATTCCTTTACAATATCAGTATAGTATATCAATAAAATCCAAAGTATTGCAATGAGTGATTTATGACTTGAGTTACGTCCGTACATGTTAATTTAGCATATTCAATATTTTTGAAAGCATCTGTATTACCAAGTCTCATAAATTTTTCTTTTGTTCATACCATTTTGTATTGCCGTTTTATAGCTGCATTCAAGTCAATATATTTTTAGTTTTAATTTGTCCACTAAAATATTTATAATTTTTTGAAGCCAATCTATTGAAGAGAACGGACGCGTTTTAAAAGCATTTTAAAAATAAAAAGTGAAATAAAAAAAGAAAAAGATATGGCAAAATACACTGTTGTACAAACTAAAGATATGTTAGAAATTTACTCAAACACATTATTAAAAATTTTCGATGAAAAATTTGATAAAATGAAGCATAAAATAATTAGCATGCATGAAGAAAACAGTAATCAAAAAAAGAAGTTTGCAAAATAAAAAAAAACTATTGAATTTATAAGTGTAAAATAAGGTAGCATTAACATCGAACTTGCAGAACAAAAAAAGAAAACAAACACAGTAGCTAAACAAAGTGACAGCTTAAACGAAAATTGTACCAACCTAAAAAATAGTGACATTTAAGATACTCGTACAGAGTTAAAAGATCGAAGCAAGCGATATAATTTAAGAATCACGGGAATTGAAGAAGATCCGAATGAGACATGGGAAGAAAGTGAAAGAAAAGTTCAGGTTTTTTTTTTTTAATCAAAACTTGGGTGTACAAATAATAAAGAAATCGAAAGAGCCCATAGAACGGAAAGGGAAGCTTATGATGGAAAAAAAAAGTAGAACAATAGTAGCAAAGTTTGTCAATTACAAAGATAAAACTGCAGTGTTGGATAGATTTATTTAAAGAAAACTATGGAACGGAAAGCTTTAAGTCAACGAGGACTTTAGCGACTAAACAATTAAAATAAGAAAACGACTATTTAAAGAAGCGATCTATTTGAGATCAAAAGATAAATTTTCCTAAGGTAGTTCATAATAAACTAGTGATTTTTGATTTTTAAAAAATAATTTTATTTCTATCAAATAGTTATAAAAATTAAAATTGGTTCTAATTACCCAAACAATTTTGAATCAATCTCATGTAATTTATTTAAAACAAATGATTTAGTTATTGACATTGATTTAGATTTTTGATTTTTAAAAAATAATTTTATTTCTATCAAATAGTTATAAAAATTAAAATGGGTTCTAATTACCCAAACAATTTTGAATCAATCTCATGCAATTTATTTAAAACAAATGATTTAGTTATTGACATTAATTTAGATCCAGACATAAATTACTATAATGATTCAGTAACATTGCAAAGCAAACGCTCGTATTTTTATAAAAGGAAATAAAAGAATTTTTAGGGCAGGATCATTTTAATGTTGTTCATCAATGTTTCAAGTTTGAAAAAAAGCTTTGACAACTTATGTAACATTGTAAAAGAAACTTCAAATTTTTTTTAGCATAATATGCTTAACTGAAACTTGCTGTGACTCTGATGACCCTAAATCTTACTTAAATCTCCACCTGGGAGGCTTTAAAATGATCCCGCTAGCACATAAATCAAAAAAGCGAGGCGGTGGTGTACTTTTTTATATAAAAGAAAACTTGCAGTATATTATTAGGTATGAAATGATTAACTCTGATGACTATAGCGAAGTCTTAACAATGAAGATTAAAACCAGTAACACCAAAAATATACTTTTGAGTTGCTGGTATCGCCAGCCATCTGGCATAATAAAATATTTGAATACATTCTTATTTAATAATATTTTGAGAAAAGGTTTAAAGTAAACTATTTATTGGAGACATAAATCTAAATTGTTTTAAATATCAAACTAATAACAACATAAAAGCATTTTATGACGGTTTTTTTCAGAACGGCGCAACTCCATTAATAAAAAGACCAATAAAAGTAACAGAAACATCAGCTTCCGTAAATAGATAACATCATAACAACTGATATCTTTAACAATTTGCTTAAAATAGGTATAATAAAAAATGAAGTTTCTGATCATTTCCCTATTTTCTTTTCTCTAAATATTGTTACCGAGATAATACAACAACAAAAACAAATTTCCATCAAAAGTTTTTTCAATGAATCAAATATCGACTCATTTAACAATCAAATATCCCTATTTAACTGGAAAAATATCGACTCTACATTAGAAGCAAACAAAGTCTATAACAAATTCTACGAAACATCTTATGATATATATGACGCAAATTTTCCAAAAATCAAAATAAATCAAATTAAGCCTTAAATTACCGTGGATCAATAAAGACCTCAGAAACTCCTCAAAAATTAAGCAAAAACTTTATATAAAATACTTAAAAACCGAAACGATTGAAAACAAATCAATATACAAAAATTAAACTTAACAATTTGAAAATAATAAAAAAAGTACAAAAATAAAAAAACTACTATTTCAATTTGCTAGAGAAACATAAACTCAATTCAAAACGCACTTGGCAAATTATTAGTGAAATCACTGGCAAACAAAACTTAAAATCGTGTTTTCTACCTGAAGCTATTCAAATTAATGATAAAATAATAGGTGATCCTAAAAAAATAGCAAATGAACTAAATAAATTCTTTTTTTCTGTTGGATCTAATCTTTCAAAAAATATTTCAAATATGATAAATCCATTCAATAAGTATGAATTTCCTTTAACCTCTGGTTTAAGTGCCTTTGAACTATCATTTTCAGAATTTGAAAATGCTTTTAAAATGCTTAAGCCCAATAAAGCAATTGGCCCAGATGATTTAAATGTAAAAATTATTATTAAGTCATACGATA